GCCGCTCGCAGGCAGTCGGGACAGCCGTGCGGCAGGAACAGAAGGCGAGCGTCGTCAGAGGTCCGTGGAGAAACGGGAGAGTCATTTTCAGGTGTGCTGAAGTTGAGCGTGAAAAAGGATTGATGTGTACTTTGTTCAGGTCTTTTTGAAAACTTCCCACTCCTAGTAGCTGCTTTTTATTTTACAAAAGCGTCGGCTCCACCACGGCGTGGGGAGAGAGCGGACGCCGCCCCCTTCTCTAGCACTGGACAGCGCCCCCAGCTGGGAGGCCCTCGCCCCCACAGCTGCGTTTCCTGCAGGCAGCCGTCCGGTAAGTGGGTCACTTATAACCAACAGATCCCATAAAAGGATGCTCAGCTCTGGGGCGATGGCTGCGCGGCCCCCTCGATCACGCGGGGCCTGGGTGCTGCAGGAGGGCTACCACCGGGCTCCCCTTTCTCACGGACGTGGGTCTCGCACTTGGGACAGGGGACAGGCCGGGCATGAGAAAAGCCCCTGAAACATTAAGTGTCGCCTGCTCCCTCTGCTTACACGTTATACACTCAGCGCTCGGCCCGCCCGGGGTCAGTAATGGGCCAGCCTGCAGCGCGTGGGCCGCACACAGCTGACCCGTGCCAGGTGGCCAGAGGCACACCCACAGCGTGCCGTCCGGCTGCGTCCACAGCACTGGGTGCATGTGGCCCACCACGCCTTCTCCCCACTGCTTCTAGCTCAGGTGGCTGCAGCGCTTTTCCGGAGGGCTGCCGCCCACATCCTTGGGCACCTCTGCTTTGCCGCCTGCCCTGCAGTCGTCAGTGAGCTGGGGCTCTGACCCCCAGATGCCACCTCCCAGCATCCCAATGCTCAGACCAGGGGTTCCCAGAGGCCCCGAGGGCCACAGACATGCTCAGCATTCTCTGGCGCTCACGGGCGTGGCACCCCCAGGGGTGATGCAGCCCCAGCCTGGTGTCAAGGCCCAGGTGTTTGCCGTGACCATTCAGGCTGGAGAACCCCTAGGCTCTCTTGATGTAGCTTCAGGACCTCAGCTCTTCCCACGATCTGTGAGAACTTCCTGGGCATCGGGTCAGGCATGGCAGCACGTGCAAGGTGCGGGTTCATGGGAAGCCAGCTTCTCTGGGGAGGGAGCTGAGGGCGTGTGAGCACCGGGAATGGAGCGCACTGGCTGCTGGGGACTGCTGAGCAGCAGGAAGGACAGGAGGCAGCCGGCCCAGGAAGAGCCACGTGTCTCTGAGGCTCAGAAAGACAACTGTGCAAAAAAGGGGGGCTGACCAACTGGGGACACCGCGGCAACCTCCGTGGCTCGCACACATCAGGCTGAGACATCCTACTGCACGCACGATATACCTATCACAGAGACCCACCTGCAGAAGGGGCCACACAGCCACGCTGAGAAACCCTCGTGTCTGGCGCCACTCCGGACTGCCTCTCCCGTCCACATGCGCCACGTTAGCACCACAAACATGCCCTCCATCTTGTAAGCCAGCGGGCCCTCGTCAGGCCTCACCCTGTGGTGTGCCGGCACATTTTAACCCAGAGAATGACCTGTTTTTTCTCACAAACACTGCTGCGGTGTGATGCCTCGGGCTGCAGGGAATGGGGCTGCCCCAGGAGGCTGGCACCTGTGTGTTCCCGCCGCCTTGCTGAGTCGGGGGCGGTCCAGTGACGACTCCCTGCTGGTGACACTGGGAGCAGCACCCGGCCCCATCACCCTCCAACACCCCCAAGCCATTCCCAAATCAACGCTGAGGGAGAGATCGATCATTTGAGCCAACCTCTGAAGACCGATAGTGTGTGATCTCGAAACAAGCAACAAGAAATAAACCTTCTCACTCACAAACATCAACATTGAATTCTGATGAAACTCTGGAGGAGGAGGCTGGGAGATGCCCGGACAGGGCTTACCTCTGGGTGCAGGGTTAGCATTAGCCAGCGGCCATGCCAGGAGGTCCTCATGTTAAAACTCACAGGTTGGGCCTCTCCGGTGGTGCAGCGGGTTGAGCCCAGTGCTGTGAAGCTGTCTGCAGCTTCTGCAGTGTGGGTTCTATTCCTGCCCAGCCGGGGAGATTCCCACATGGCACGGGAGACCTCTCCTGTCTCACCCGCTGCTCCCCTCAGCAGTGCTTTCAGTCCATCTGCCCGTTCTGCTCCCCACTCTGTCTCTGGTGAATGCGCTCATCCTCCTGCGCCTTTGGCCTGTACCCAGTTCTTGTATAAATAAATAAATCTTTAAAAAACCAAAACTTAGAGGTTTCTTTCTCAAAGAACAGTTAAAATACCCAAGCACTCTGACATAGCTCTTAGGACTTCGCCCAGAAATGCTGGGAAGCACAGGGCACTCTGTGAGCTCACGTCCCATGCACAGCTGGCAGCCCAAGAGTGCCGTGCGCGGCGGCGGCTGGACCAGGCAGACAGACAGCCCCAGGCAACGGGCAGCTGCGGGGAGCCTGAGACTCAGCCACCACAAAGGACTGTCCTCTGAGCAGGAGACGGCGCCCCGGCCCCAGGGGGGAGTTTTGCGGATGGGTTCTGAACAGAACCTGGTACCCATCTGAAGCGACACGAGTGCCCAGATAGGGGTCCGGGGGACAGCCTATGGGTCTCTCAGAATTCATCACAGCACACGCTGTCCGCCGAAGATCCGCTGGCCCATCCCAAGCACTGACCTCAACTTCAAGAGAAAACCAGCAACAGCTGAGTGGCCAGCAGTGCAGATGTGGGATGGACACCCGCAACCCAGGCGGCAGAGTTGAGGCCGACCTGGCCTTGCACCCCAACCGGCTCGCTCGCTGCTCACTCTGCCTGGGGTTGCTATTTCCCAGCTCCCCTCGCCATCCTGTGCTGGCTGTTCTGCCCGTTGCCCTCTGCCCGCCCAGGGGCACCTCACCACACTCAGGAAGGAACCCAGGCTCAAATGTACTCACTTAGGAGCCCCAGTGTCTCCAGCTGGTTGGGGAATTTGTAACACTCATTTTTGAAGACACAAACCCATGTGGGAAGTAAGCGGTGGAGCTAAGTGTAGGATGTGGAGGGGGAGCAGCTTGGATTCCCAGGAAAGAATCAGCACCCGCAGGGCCGGTGTGTATCAGTGGCAAACAGCACCCTCTCTCTGCAGCCACCGGACAGACTCCACGGCTGTTCTGGCCTGAGGACCTAGTTTAGAAACCTGAAGGCAGAGAATGAAACTTGCTCCTGCGGTGCAGGGCTCCCAGGGCCAGTCAAGGCATCCAGACTAGCTGTCAGGGGTAAGAGTCAAGGGCTGCAGACCCGTGTGGGGCTGCTGGCCGAGTGCTGGCCCAGCTGCTCACAGGCAGGAGGCCTCAGGAAAACACGGTCTCTCTCGGGCCTCCCTGCGCTCATGTGGTGAACGTGGACAGGCTCGGCCAGCTCAGGTCCTCTGTCCTCGCTTCCAAGGTCTACAAAGCACTGGAGACTGGTCAGTTCCAGTGTTATCTTTAGAGCAAACAACATGTGATGACAACACCTGGCCTGACCTGAAAGGAGGTCCTTCCTCCCACTCTTGATGGTGTGTGCTGCCCCAGGCACTGTCGCTCGGTGCCAGGGAGCTGCGGGAGGCATCCCGCCAGGGGTGGGGGTGGGGGTGTGCACACTGTGTGACCTTCCAAGGCAGAAGCACTAGGCCCTTAAGAGTTCAGGTAGGGAATTCTGGGCCTGCCTCTCCCCTGGGGAGGTTGTGAAGACCGAAGGCTCTGCATGGGGTGACCTCATGTCGCCCGCACTGAGAACCCGGGCGGGTGGTGCTGAGCTGGCAGCAGCAATCCGGGTGCCGTGTGCAGGCCGTGCTGACTGAATTTAACAGGCCAGGGAGCTTCCTCCTGGGGTACTCAGGTCCTGAGCCCTGTGTACACAACGAGGTGGCCAGTGGTGGAGGTCACCCACACACCTGCAACGGGGCCAGTGTCCCCCCACCCCGCCCCAGCAGGTGCTGGCCCAGGCCGCACCTGGTTTCAAGTGGGATGTGCTCCCTTGAAACTGCGGCTTCAAACGTGTGGCCACACTAAGCAGCACAACGAGGACCGTGTGGACGGATCCGTGGGAGGCAGGTCAGAGCCATTGTCCATGGGGGCCACTACTGTGGTGGTAGACAGATGGGGCAGGCCCTGTAGCCAGTAACCCAGCAGGCAGCGTGACCACGTTGGCCTCATGGAATCAGAGTACAAGGACCGGCCCTGGTGACCTGTCTCCCGGCCCAGGACTCTGTGGACCCAGCCACTGCTCTCCCCAGAAGACTGTAGGCAGACAGACCAGGATGGACAGGCTGTGGCCGGGGCACAGACTGGTAGGGCAGCTGTGCTGTCCTACCCCTTCCTCTCCTCCCTGAGGGGCTGCCACGAGAGCAGTCCGGGAAGACATCTCCCACAGGACGCAGGTGCACACAGGAGGGTGTGTATTGGCCAGGCCTCGGGAAGGAGCTCTGGGGGGCAGGCACATTTCGTGGGGAGCTGATACTGAGTGGGTACACAGCAGTGGGGCAAAACCAGACACGTTCACACCTCTGAGCCCATCATGCCACCACTAAAGTCCTAGAACCCAATTCTTGCATGGATAAAGTTTAAAAAAAAAAATCCTAGAAATTCACCCAAAAAAAAAATTCAAGAAAAACCAAGAGCAGGCCTCTCCTGGTGGTGCAGCGGTTGAGCACTGGGCTGCGAAGCTGCCCGCAGCCTCTGCAGCGCCTGTTCGATCCCCGGTTGCCGGTGAGGGTCCCACATGGCGCACAGACCTCTCCTCCCGCGTCTGCTGCTCCCCTCAGCAGTGTGCTTCGTCGATCTGCCTGTTCTGTTCCCTGCTCTGGCTCTGGTGAGTCCTCTCACCCTCCCGCGCTTCTGACTGTACCCAGTGCTTGTATAAATAAATAAATAAATCTTTAGGAGGGAAAAAAAAATAAAAGGAAAACCAACAGCGCCCTGTGGCAAGCTCTAGTGACCAGAAGTGGAGCCAGCGCCGCACAGCGGGCCTGCAGGAAGCCCTCTGGGAGTTACCAGGAAGCGCTCCTCCTTCTCCAGCCAGCGCTGGTCTTCTTCCATCTCCTGCTGCTGTCGGATCAGCCGCTCTTCCATCAGGTGGGAGGGCAGTGCCTGCCCAACTCCACGCAGGTCCAGGGCCGCTGCATCCTAGGAGTGAAAGCGGCATGTCCACCCTTGGAGCCTGCTACACAGCCATGTCCCGCAACGGGGGGAAACAGCAAGGGCGCAGGACATGGCGGGCTCAGGCGGCCTGTGGAGGCCTTTCTGGGGACCTGTGCAAGGTGTTGCTGCAAGGCGGACTGGGGAGTGCACGGTGCCACCTGCAGGGACACGCACCACAGAGAGAAGCCGGGGTAGGAGCAAGAGAACGCATCCCTCGTGACAATGAAAAGGGGATGTGACCTGGGAGTGAAATCACACAGGGGAGGTTAGCTCACATGCGCACACACTTGTGCAGTGTGGCTCAGGACAGAACACAGCGGCCCAACTGTGATGTTCCCGGCTTTGCCAGGACAACGCAATGGAGACACGTAACGCTGCGCCTCCTGCCCACACACGGCCTAGTGGGGTGCCGGCGGCACGCCTCCTTTCTTTCAGTAAAAAGACACTCATGGGCCAGAAACCATTGGAGCTGGCGAATGTACAGATTTAGAATTAAGTCATCAAAATCAAAACCTCTTAGGTCGGAGGCTGTAGGGCACCTGGACAGTTACCTCCACGCCAGGCTGCCACATGGCGACCTCCTGTGGCCTGTGGTTCCATGTATCTGTCTGGTCCAAGAGAGACGCCTGCCCAGGGTAGACGCTGCCGGCCATGGCTGTGACGCCATGGGAGCCGGGGTAGCCGGAGACCTGAGGATGAGTGAGAGGTCAGGCTCCAAACACACTGCCTCACCCTGCGCAGCCCACTGGTGCCATGTGTGCAGGCTGCCCTCGTGTTGCAGGCCACGCTCTGATGGCAGACGGCGGCCCAGAGGTCCACATCTTTATCCTGGGGCCTGCAAAGACAACGGCTACACCAGGGGTGGTTATGGGGCACTTCCCAGGGAGCCCAAGGGGTGGGAGGGAGGAAGTGACTACTGACAGCAGGAGGCAGGCCCGGTGCTTCTGAGGAGGAGAAAAGGGCCATGAGCCAAGGAATGCAGGCAGCCTGAAGGAGCTGGGGCAGGCAAGGAAGTGGATCTCCTCCTGAAATGCCTCATGGAATGTAATTTCTTATGGCTCCACCAGACAACAGATGTAAATATACGCTCAAATAACTAGAAAATAGTCACTTCGAATTTTATACTCACTACAAAGATGAAAGCAGACCTTCCCTGGGTATAAAAGCAGCAGGCCGTAGAAAGGACCGAGCCAGGCGCTGCTCTGGGAACCTGCCCGCCCAGTAACGCTCCCCCAGACACCCCGAGAGTGCTCTCCTCAGGGCCGGCCCTGCATGAACTGGGGCTGGGGCAGAGGGAGGAATCACGCCTCATGCTCTGACGATGACCACCACGGCAGAGATGTTCCATGGCCAGGCAGAAAGCAAATCCTCTCTGCGATTCCTTCCCCTGATTAGGAGAACAGAATCAGCGTTTATTTCCCCAACTCATCAGGCCGGTACTGCATGGCTGGGACTGTCAGCGCACTCTTTAATAGGCTAATTAAGCACACCCAAGTCCATACTTTCCCACTTCAACACACCTCCAGGAAAGGCCTGTGGCCTGCCAGGTCTTGGGCACCACTTAAACCAGTGCTGAGATGCAGAGAGTGAGGAGCGGACTCCACTGTTCCTCCAGCTTACTCCAAGGAGAGATTTTATTGTTTAAAATCCTCTACATAAGCCATGCTTTACCACTACACTCTGGTCAGAGGGTGCAGTACTGCCCAGGATCTTTTACTGAGCCTGATGATGAAGAGACGGTGTGTGGCCTAAGGGCTGCTCCAGGTAGCCCCCTTAGGGAGCACCGTAACCACAGTGGTTGCGGCGGCCAGCACAGAGCTGGGCACAGGGGACAAGCAGGGCCAGCTGGCTGTGTGAAGAGCCCTGTGCACCCAAACGATTCACTCTTCTTGCCACAGGCAAGTGGACACCACAGAAGTGATCCCCAGGCAGTCTATCCGTCCTGCCCAGAATCCCCCAGAGGGAGTTCACAACAGAGCCTGCATCGGCCCCAACCGTGCTAGCCAGAGCCAGACTACAGGGCTTGGTCTTCTCCCTGCTAACAAGAGCCCACATCCCTAGTGCCTGCGCACCAACGGGTAGTTTTGTCCATACTAATCAAGAGGCCTTAACTCCGCTTTAGAGGTATGTAAAGGGATACAAATGTGTTCACTGGATTCTCACTAACCCTGGAAGATGGTGGGGGGATGGCACTTCTGCTGAGAAGGCCTAGACAGGCAGGTCAAGGTGGGCAGCGCGGCGCCGACTGGGGCCTCTCATCTCCGCACGGACCGCATGAGGAGCTGCTGCTTCCTGCCTTGCGCCTCAGCTCTCCGTCCATCACTGCTGCCTGTCGCAGGCGACTCAGTCAGCTGGCGGTGCAGCGAGGGCCCTCTGCCTGGGGAGGCCTGCACCCACGGCGCTGACTCTGCTTGGTGGAGACTGCTGAGTCAGCATCACCGGAGCGGCTGCTGCGGGGCGTGCGGGCGCGGGCACAGTGCCGGCGCTGGGAAGGATCTTGGCTGACACTCCCAAGGCTCAGGTGCACCTGCGGCCACACGGGTCCAGAACAGGCAGCAGGCTGGTTGTAGCTGGTGGAGGCCAAGCAGCTGCTCCGGGAGGGAGCAGGGACAGGGAGGGCGGCAGAAGCCCCATGTGTTGGGGGTTCGCCAGCACTGAGGTCTGCATGCCACTCTGTAAGTGAGCGGTTATCAGTGCAGCTTTTCTCTTCCCCCCTACAAACAAGCAGAATCGCCGGTTTCCCTCAAGGACAACCATTTCCGATTTGTCCGGGTCACCGCACGTGCACTGTCGCTCCCCTCACTTGTCTGTGCAGATCTCACCCCACAGAGGCAACCAGGGACTAAATGATCTTGTTAGGGACCTCTTGAATCCTGCTTTTGCCTGCCGGGAAAACCGTCCAGGTTAATGTGCCTTTGCACTAAGCGGGTCCACTGGCCTCACCTTGCTGTGAGCAGAATAGAGCAGAGAAGAGCAGACTCGAGAACTGGGAGACACAGATGTGCCCGACTGGGTCCACACTGAGGGAGCCTCACAGGCCCTGTAAGGGGGTGTCAAGGCCACGTTCATTCAGACACTATTGGGTCAGCCACTCTCTTAGCTGTCTGCCCGCAAATCCTCTCTCAGCACCCAGACAGAAACCGGCAAAAGGAGCCTCCCGCCCTCAGGCTGCTGAGGAGCAGCACTGCAGGCCTGGCTGCGCTCACGGGCTTACCTGGTAGTGATTGGCCTGCACCATGTGCTGAGGGCTGGGGTAAAATCCTTCACTGGACCTTGGGCTGGGATAGCCAGGTCTGCTGGGCTGTGAACAAATCAACAGAGCGTCACGTGAATGAGTATTCTGATTATTTTGATAAGTCTATGCTTTACTGACAGGACTAGGAACAGCTGATTCTCTAGTGGAGCCCAGCTGGAAGAAAAATGAAGCTTCCAGGAGGCCTCAGTGAGGAACAGCCTTTCCCACAGAGGGTGCTGGGACATGACAGCTACCGGGGCAGGTGCCACCAGACCCCCTGACCACAGACGCACCAGGGAAGTGATGGCCAAGGGGCTGTGTACACACTATTAGGAGAAAACACAGGGTTATGCTTTTGTGGCCTGGAGGGGTAGGCAATGTTTCCTTAGAAATAACACCAAGAAAGCTCAATCAGCTAAAGAAAAAAACTTCATCAATATTGAAAACTTATGTGTTGCCAATGACACTGTCAAGAAAGCGAAAAGCCAAGCCACAGAAGGAAGAGAGTATTTATAAGTCGTATCTGACAAGAGATTTGCACCCAGAATACGCCTTAAAGAACTTTGAAGACTCAACAATACAACCGCCTGCTTGAACAGGGGGCGAAGGGCTGGAAGTGACCGAAAGGCGATGCAAAAGTGACCGCAGGCACACGGACAGCCTTCACCGCCACAGTCACCAGCCCCTCGGTGTGGCCCTGGGTGGGCAGTGAGCTGCTCCTGCCCCTCGCCAGGGGTCCAGCGAGAGGGGCTGCCTGACTGCGAGCCGTGTGGACTGCGAGTCCACAGCAGAGGGCTCAGCCTGAAATGCGACGGTTGGAATAGGCCAAGTGCGTCTTTCCTAAGCCTGCAGCAATCACACCTTCTGCAGCAGATGAGGACAGAATGAACGGAAGGGGCTTAGGATGTGACTCTCAGGGAAGACGCCTCAGTTCCGCAGGCACACAGTCAGGGGCGAACATGGGCTGCGCCTGAGGTTAAGTTCTGAGGGTGTGGGCTGTCAGCTGCCTCTCCAGACGCTCCGGGCGCTCCCTGCCAGATACCTCCTGCCCCTTCTGCTTCCACAAGCTACTGCTCCTGCAGAGCAGCCCGGGTCCTCCCACCTAGCATGAGCCGAGGCCCCACTCTCCTGTAGTCCCTTCCCTCTGCTGCTCTGCACTGTTCAAACTGAGTGTGGAAGACGCTCCCCTACCCCTTCGGTCCTGCCGCATTCTGGTGCCCAATGTGGTCGACTCCGACCTGAGCGAACAGGCTTTAAACCCAAAGACATCTGAGGGAGGAAGGGCAGGGAGGGGGTTACAGACCACCCTGTCCCAGGGTAATTCAAAGTGTGTTCCTCGGGCCCGAGGGACGACCCTTCAAATTCGTATTTTTTAAAGGTTTCATTTGAACAAGGGGTTAAGAGGCTTCTGTTGTGACACCAGGCGGCAGCCTTCTTCTGAAAGGCTGCCCCAAGCACAGCAGTGGCCTGGGACACTCTGGAACCCAGGGCAGAAGCCCAGAGCAAGAATTAGGACAGGGGACAGGACCAGCCAGGCACCCCAGCTTAAATCCTGGGGGCGGCACCACACAGCAAAGACCCCACGTGTGTGCCACTGTGTTCTCCAAGAGGCCGTCTGCGGAGCCTGGCGCCCATCTCAGGGGCTGGCGTCGAGTCAGGTCACACGAAGGCGCCCTGCCTGCCACCATGGGGAGCTGCGGTCTGACACCAGGTGCGCTATGCTCAGGGCTCCTCCAGGGCCAGCGTGGGAGACACACAAGAAAAAGGAAACCGCACAGGGACTTGGTTAGTGAGGGCATCGCTGCTGCAGAATGTCTCAGCGATGCAAGTGAAGGCCGTGGGCCCTGTTACTAGAGACTGTACTGTGGGGACGAAACCATCGCACAGAGGCTGAGCCTGCTCAGCGACAGCAGTAGGGACACAGGTGTGCTTCTGGCCAGCCCCACCTCTGCAGACAGGACAGCGGCGGGTTGGGCAGGTGCCTCGAGTCCAGCCAGGAAGGGGGCAGAAGCAGCCGCCTCATGGGTGTGAGAGTAAATAAGTGGCCGTATGTCGAGTGCTTCGAGAATGGCTCCCGTGCACATGTCCAGAGGGGCCACTGGGCAAGGAGGCGTACCACATCCCTCCTCGGTGACGGCAACCCGCATTTCAGGGAGGCACGCGCTGGAGCACGGGCATTGGGGTGAACACCCTGAGTCGGGAGGAAGAGCGGGCTGCGGGGTGGCTCTCGGGGGTGCTGTGCTCCGACCGGGTGTTCGCAGGGTACGTGGGCAGCTCTCGCCTGGCTGGGTGCTGGCCAGGCAGGTAGAAGGGGCTGGGGCCCGGGCCCTACTCTGCCTTCAGAGGTCTCCTGGACCTCACACAGGAATGTCTGTGAGTCCCAAAACCTACTCACACAAGTACACTTTTCAGGGTTCCTCAGGCCCGAACACCCCAGAACAGCAGCCACGGTGCACAGCAGGGGCCACTCCCCTTGCTTTGTCTGGGGCTCGCCAGGCCAGCGAGACCATGCTCAGCTGTGGGTGGGTCTGCGTCGCTGGTCCTGGCCCCACTGCGCATGGGGCCGTGGCACAGGCTGTGAGCGTGTGCCCTCAGGCCGCGTCTCCCGCTCTAGAGCAGGCAGCATCAGGCCCCAGAGCTGGCGCTGGGATCAGTCTTTCTGTTATGTCCGTGTTCACGCCAGGACAGGTGACCTGGCACCTCGCAGTGTCCTACCTAAGTGGACGCTGGGTCTGACCGGGAGCGAGAAGCATGGCTCTGAAGCAGCTGCTCTCAAATCTGTTCTTTTTAGGACCTTTTAAAATTCTTAAGCATCACCAAGGGCTCTAAGAGTGTCTGTTTTTCTGGACAACACCTGCGCATATTTAAATCAGAATCACCTTTGATCAAAAGTGAAAGAACCAGTTAGGTGAGCATGTGCTCCTCAGCCCGTGAGATGGCTGCCCCACAGCCCCCAAAGGAAGCTGGCTCACATGGCGTCCCTGAGGAAGGGAGGCGTGTTTAGGTTCCTTGGCCCGTCGTCTTTGATGCTACATCAAAGCTCAACAAGTGGTTAGTGGCCTTCTGGAATCTGGAGCCGCAGCTCTGCACTCTGACCCACTGCTCTGGCCTATCCGGGGATGGGCCTTCACCACATGGGAGCACGTAACGTCCTGCCCCCATCACCCAGGGCACAGCGCCGAGACCTTCCTGACGAGACCTGTGTCAGGAGGGGACATAGGCTGGAACCCGCACCCCCCCCAACCTGGCTTTTCTTTGTGCAGCGCCAAGTGCCTGACCTCAGCTCGGGGGGGCTGACAGGACACTGCCAGCCACAGGGATCCCGGTGGCTGCTCCCCACGAGCTCCTTTGTCACGAGTGCCTTGCTCGTTCTCGGCCCCCGTGCCTCCCACTGGCTGGCGTGTGCTGTGTAATTCCCAAGCCTGACAGCAAAAGCCCACTACTTTTAGTGTCTGCTGGGCACTGCTGAGGGCACCTGCCAGCGCTGTGAGAACCCCTAGGCCACAGAGGAGATACTGGCCTGAAAAGGGGAGGAAGGGACCCCGGGTACTTCTAGCAGAGAGCACCACTGAGCTCGCAATCACGCCGGTGACATCACCTGAACTCTTCTGACAAGCCTAAGAACTAGGAGGCTGTCAGAGTCATGGCGATGGATAGAAGTTTTCCAAAATTCAAAGTTTTGGTTAAAAACTCAAAGTGTTACCACTGGCAACAGGTGATCAGCTGTGTCCCTTGACAGGACTGTCTTACTTCCTGCTGGAGACATGTTCTAGTGTCTCACTGGGAGCCACTGCAGGTGGCACCGGCTCCTCCTTGGCGCGGGCTGGTCCAGCCCTGGAGACAGGTGGTGCGCGACAGAGCCACCGGCGTGCGGCTACCTGTACCTCACACTCTTCTAGCTCTCGCAGAGGCCCTTCCCTAGCAGCCGGGTCTCTCCCTGGTGCCCGCCCATGCCACCAGTGCAGCCCCCACACGCGCAGAGAAGACAGCAGCTGGCAGTGTTAGGAGGTGGGTTTCGGTGCCCACCCAGGCGAGACGGTTGCACTTCAGGATGTTATATCCTGAGGCTCTCAGGTCCACTGGGGTCTGCAGGGCAGCAACTGGCACAAAGAAACCCGCACACTAGCTGAGTCCTGCCTGGTGGGGCTCTTCCAGGCAAACTCTGCAAGACCACGGCTGCAGGCGTGACTGGAGACGCGCTCCTGGACACAGCCCTGACCCTCTGTGGCCAGAGCGCTTTACATAATGGAGCACACCTAAGCGTTTACTTTGGAATTGTGAAAGGCGAGACAAAAATGTCTGTATTTTATAAACTAAGCTACGTAAATGTTTCACCTATCGGAATACCAACTATCTACACAGGCCTGATGTCTCAGAAGATGCGCCTGTTTTGCAGGGAGGAAGCTTTGGCCTACCCACCCACTGAGGCCATGGCATCCTCAGACTTCCAAGTACTGTGTCCCTAACAAGCAGAATTTAACTCTAAAGATGAACATGGAGAAGGGGAAAACCCCATGTGGTATGAGACTGGTCAGCCAAGGGAACAGTTAGGGTATCTGTTCATACGTGACCCTAAGCAACTGCGAACTGACACAACTGCAGATGGTCTTCTGGTGGTGAAACCATTATCTGGGTTGTCAGACTTTTGTGAAGGGCCGAAGAGGCTCAGGGGTCTGAATCTTTGAGCCTGAGTGGTGATGGCCTCGTGGGCTGTGGGCTGGCCGCCGCCTGGGACCACACTCACGCAGAGGTAAGACTCGGGCTGAGGAGTCAAATCAAGCAGAGCTGGTCTTTGACTCCGACATGAAAACCAGACTAACACCTTCCATCCTGTGAAGCTAACACTGCAGCTTCTGAAATCTGGCCACATGATTACTAAGTGTCAGAGGCTGAGATTTAGAAAAACCTTCAGATGGAAAGTGTTAATTTTGAGTTTAGGGGTGAGTAGCACCTCCTTAGATTCTGGGAGAAGGCGCTGGAAGCGCCAGTGTTCCCCGCATCCCAGAGGCAGGGGATGCTAGCACCCCACCCCACAGACAGGAAAGGTGCCGGCAGGGGACAGGTAGGTGCCTGGCCTGTGGGGCCTCCGCCTGCCTCTGGCCCGGGCAGTCCTGGGCTGGGCCACAGGCACGTGGGAAGCTGGGGGGCTGGGATGGTGCACTGCTCTTCCCAGGGTGACTAAGGGTTTTACTGGTAGACTAGGGGAGACAGAGGAACGCTCTGGCTTTGTCCCTAGCTAGCCCAGAGGAACACCTGGAACAAACCTGGCGCCACGTGTGCAGGAGGCTGGGCTACAGCGCTGCACTGACTTTGAGTGTGGGAGCCCTCACGATTATGCAGCTTAGAATGTTGGCCACAGGGCCTCCCCGGTGGTGCAGCGGTTGAGCGCTGGGTTGCGAAGCTGCCCGCAGCCTCTGCAGCGCCCACCGAAGGAAGGTCCCACATGGCGCGCAGACCTCTCCTGCCGCCCGCTGCTCCCCTCAGCGGTGTCCTTCGGTCCTTCTGCCTGCTCTGCTCCCTGCTCTGGCTCTGGTGAATTCTCTCACCCTCCCGCGCTTCTGACTGTACCCAGTGCTTGTATAAATAAATAAATAAATAAATAAATAAATCTTAAAAAAAAAAAAAAAGAATGTTGGCCACAAAGACAGAAGCTTTCAGGTAGCATGATAAATTAGTACCATATTTAAACAACACTTTGTGGGCCTCCCTGGTGGTGCAAGGGATTAAGCATAGCACTGTGAAGCTATCCACAGCCTCTGCAGCACAAGTTTGATCCCTGGCCTGCCAGGGAACTACCCACATGATGCAGCAGACTTCTCCTGTCTCCCTGCTGCTCCCCTCAGCAGTGGATTTCAGTAGATCTGCCTGTTCTGCCCCCCACTCTGTCTCTGGTGAATTTCCTCACCCCCTGAACCTCTGGCCTATACCCCAGTTCCTGTATGTATGAATAAATAAATCTTAAAAAGAAATAAACAGCACTTTGTGTTAATAGATCTCTGAATATTTTCAAAACAAAAAGAATTGTCAGTTTCCTAACACATTTTTACATAAGTAAATAGCAAATAGCTACAAATCCCCACTCAACCTCCTATTAACTGTTTACTTTCCAGACAACCACCAGACCTGGGTTGCTTGTGGCCAGGAAGCAGCGTGTGAAATATGCCTGTCAAGAGCGACAGGCACAGAAGGATCCTGAAGGTAAGGAGAGGGTTTAGGGGATGCCTCTGTCCAAAGCTTGACCCTAGCAGCGCCGAGCTGCCGCATGGGCAGAGAAGGGAGGGACAGGGTGGGCAGCAGGCAGAGGATGCCGGTGCCTCCAGTTGGAGACAGCAAGCGCACAGGGTCTCCACACACCAGACCCAGCAGGACAAGGATGGGTGGGATGAGACGTCTCTTAAGAATGAAAGCAGCTGGTGCCTTGATTGTTAGCGAGGCCCCTAGCCCCCAGCAGAGGAGACCCTCCCAGGGTGTGCCAGTGAGGACAAGAAAGGAAGAGGGTGCAAAGACATCTAACCTAGTTGTTGATGCTTACAAGAGCCCACAGCTGCAGAGCAGGCCCGCAAGGCCGGGCTTGGAGGGCAGCAGTGGGCAGGGAGCCAGGAGCGGGGGCAGGGCAGCTCTGACAATAAGCTGACACTTGGCTTGCCCCCAGAGGAGAGCGTCTACGCCTACGCAGAGGCCTCAGCAGCTGGCTGGAGTAATGCAAGTCAGGGGCTGGGCGGGGGCCTTTGCTACCTTGGGCGGAGCTTCGTCGGCCCCTCCGGAGTCCCAGGACACAGGGACCTGTCTTCTGGACTCCATCCTCATCCGCTCTTCCTGCTGAGCCTTCTCCTCCTCCAGGATTGTGCTAGAGAGACAATACATTGTGTAAGGGGAGCTGACAACCGAGCACGTTAGCACACACCGATCCCACCCCGACTTAGCTAAGGCACCCAGGGGGCAGCAGTGGGTGGGAAAAGCAGGGCCCCTCACACAGTGGGGAAGAGGCTCGGGAACAGGCTTGGCTGAAAGGCCTGCCCACTTACAGTCCCACTGCGGGTGAGAAAGGGACAGCGGTGAGACGCGGGGAAGCTGTAAAAATCACAGAGAAGCCAAGAGGGGATGTCTGGATGCCGTGCTTACGTGGAGCGGGAGCAGATTAGCAGGAGAGAGCCCCAGCAGCCCTGGCCCAGCAAAGACACGTCTCAGGACAGGTCCCCACCCAGTGCGACCACATCAACATGTTATGTGACGGACGCGCCATCTGGCTGAAAGTCTCCCAAAATCACTCCCTGCAACCTTCCTGCCAAGGCTCCCTCGAACCAGCACCACGTGTGATCGCCGCGCAAGGATACCTGCACCTGAGCTCCCAGCCTCGCCCTGCCTGCGGTGGACAAAGAGCAGTCACCGAGCTACTTACCCCTGCCTGTCTGAGCCCAGGCGAGCTGCTGTCCCACATAATCTCGCGGCCCTTGGGGCCGCGGCTCCGCCCTGCCTGCCTGGAGCCTCTCAGTCCTGGCTCTCTGCCAGGGCGCGAGGGGCCCCAACCGCAGCCAGGGGGACGCCCTGCCCACCGCCCATTGCACACAGAGTCCTGGGCAGAAGGCTCGGGCGCGGAAACCTGGTCCCCACCGGGCGCCTGCAGCCTGCAGTCCTCACACCGTGGCTCATTCAGTTTCTGCCTTCCAAGAGCCGTGAGGAACCACCCCTATTACTCACGAGAGTGAGGTCAGTGGCCCAGCCCCATGCTAATCTGGGAATTTGCTCAACTCGTTCAAAGAGACCTTCCTGCTTCAGCAGAGTCTAACTCGCGCTGCTTCTCACACACACTAGCTCAGGGACACAAACTGTTCCCATCAGGGAAAGACAGACAATGCAGGCGTCTCCCTGAGGCAGCAGGCAGTGGTCACAGACAAGACTTTCTTTTACGTAGAGGGAACGGCTTCCTCACTGAATGTGTTAGCCCTCGGCAGAGAAGTTTTTAGTCAAAAGAGTCCACACCCCTCAGAATGTGACATGGGTTTATCCTGCTCCAAACAGAACGAGACTTTTAACCCTTCAGAATGCAGCAGTGCCTCGGGATGGGCAGGGCACCCCAAGCCAGCAGGCCTGGGCTGACGCTGGTGCTCCTGAAATGCTCTATCGGTGTCTGTCCGCCCAGATGGTCCCACGAGTTTGAGAGCTGCTCCTGACACCCTTTCTCACATGCCCGGACGAGCCCAGATGCAGGAGCCCAAGAAGCCCTGCTAACACCAGGTCCTCGGCTGGGGGAGCCAATGACTGAACCCCAGCTGTGGCTCCGCTTCCTGCATGCCAGGGGGAGGCTGCTGGGCGGAGGGCCAGCCAGCCCGAGGCTGGCCTCCTCAGTAACCTGCTCTCACCCACAAGGTCCCCGTGCCCATAAAGGAACCCTCTTTCGCGCGGCCTGGGCCTTCCGCCCGCACGCCCTGCCTGGCTCCTGGCCCGCCAAGGCACCGGTGAGCTCCTCCACACACACACAGCGCGTCCCTCCACAGCTCCGGGCGTGGACCGGGCGCCTCCCATGGGATACGGGCTCAGCTCCTCAGCATTTGCCCATGGCAGACACGCTCTATTTCTTTCACCAAACGCAGCGACACCTGGGAAGCAGAGTCCTTCGGCTCCGTGTTTCACACTCACACCAAAAAAGCCAAGTCAAGATGCTTCTGAGAAGTCACGGTTCACCGCTCGGAGTGACTCGCGAGACCTGTGTTCACCTGGGAGGCTGCACCGTGGACGCACACACATGCCCAAGCAGGGTCCCGGGCCCTGGGAGCGCAGACTGGACTGCTGAGCCCAGGGAGGTCAGAGGCAAACATACTTTCCCACACCACCAGTATTTTTAGCAGCATCGCTACATTCCATTGGACGCGAGCCGCCCCAGGGCCTGCAGTGCACCCTGGGGGTTTTGCTGAGGGTTGGTTTTTCTTTTTCTTTTTTATTATTATTTTTTAAATTATATATATATTTTATATCATTTTTCATTTTCGCACAATGTATGCTTTTTCATCTTGGTTATAGTCCCCGTACAATTCTCCCCCTCCATAGCGTGTCTCTGGTCTACAGTTGCTTGTTGATTTTGATTTTTCATGTGTTCTAAAGTTTGTTAAATGAAAAGGGTTGGTTTTTCAAACATGCAAATAGATGAATCAATGAGAACTGAGACTTTTCATTTAAGGAGTCTCATCACGAAGGAGAAGTGTGAAGAGAGAGTGCTTAACGTCAGCTTTTTCTTCTGCCCCCCACTTTCACAGCGAAAGGCCATACCTGTCTGTAAGGGTTGCCCTGCCTATCTTCTCTCATTGCAGCCCTCCCTACGAAACGGTCTCACGACCTTCCAGGAATTAGGATGGAGAGATTTTACCAAATTTCCTTCCTGGAGCAAAAAAGTGTGATCTCATGTCTAAGGTATTTTCACAGAGAGCAAGAAAGGCTGGTAGGTTCCTTGTTTGTAGTCCCAAGCTAAGAAACAAAGACACGTCTCCAAAACATATGGGTTCAGAGCAGCTGACACAGGCCCTCACACTGTCCCAGGAGGGATGGCCCCAGCTGGGACCTGCATTGGCCTGAATCCTGCAACCTCGAGCAAAGCACTTCCTCATTTACAAAGGAACGTTCTGTCTGTCCTATTTATTGTTAGGATGGAGATAATTTTGTGAAAAAAAGCTCAGTAAGACTTTTGAGTAAATGTTAGTTCTACACCTTTATTGCCTTATATATACTGGGAAAGAAATGAGATTTTATCTATTTTGTTTCTGTGGCATTTTTCCTGAGTAACTGTACTACTTTTCTTTGAAACTATACTGTAGTTTTTCCTTTAAATATAAGAAAAGCTCTACTCAAATAACTTTTTTTTTTTTTAAAGATCTGACTCGGGTCACCTGAATATACATACTTTCATGATGGCATCACAGAATTTGCTTTGGACATAAAATCAGTCTGGATTCATAGATACTTTGGCAAATCTGGAGAATATCCACACAAAGAGCAATAATAAATGGAAGGGAAAAGACGTGAGAGAAATGACTTGTGTTGGCAAGTACATGGGAATATCAGTTCTGAAGTCTGATCTTCATGATTAGTGAGCATTGCCTCACCACAGAGGAATGAACTGACCTTTCAACAGCCCTCCCCCAACCCTCCTATCTGCAGAAAACAAGTCTGGAGACTTGAGATGCGTGTCTGTGGCTGGCTGTCCTGGCAGCTAACTGCCACCATCCGTTACAGCATGTAAACAGGCTCAGAAGAATGGACACCCATTCCAAGAACACACCACACTGCGCTGTTCTCTGATTATGGCTCTCAGCATGCAGGAAATAGAGCACTTTTGTAGGATTGCTGTTATCCATCTCTTTCTCTCTTTCTCTCTCTCTTTCTCTCTCTCTCTCTCACACACACACACACACACACACACACACAAAGTGATTTCTACTAAGATCTAACTTAAAAATGGGGACGTCTTTCTATTTCTGGCATGTTTCAGCAGCCCCTACTGACTACCCTTCTTGCAGCTAGCAGGTATAGACGATGACGACAAAAGAAAACTGTGACAGCACAGGCTCTGGAGGAAGTGGACATGGGGAGGGAGGAATGGTCTGACAGAGTTCCCACTTTTTATTTAATGGCCACTAGCCAGAAAGCAAGCCTAAAGAACACAGAACTAAGTTTGGGTCACCATAGCTGGTGGAAAGTGAGGGGGGAATCTCAGGAGGAAGAGTGGGGATACCGCAAATCCTTGGTACAAGTTCTATCCAAACCTCTAGCTGAGCCCAGAACCATTAACATATAGCATAGGCTCTAAGCAATCAGACAGGGCAGAGAGGATTCTGTGGAGATTTAAGCTGCTGCATACAGAAGGGTGCAAACTTGCAATCTGAGACCTTGCTGGCTCAAATAAACAAGAAAGCAAGGAAAGAAACAGCAGAATACTCATTGGAGAAATATAACTGAATCCAGAGTTTCTGTAACCTACCAGTCATAACATCTAGGATATAGCCTAAAATTGTGTGATATATAAATGTGAGACTGATCCCTTTTTTTTTTAGAAACATTTTTTTTTTTATAGAGGCATGTTTATTTATTTATTTATTTATTTATTTAGTTTTGTTTGTTAGTTATACATGCACTGGATACAGTCAGAAGTGCGGGAGGCTGAGAGAATTCACCAGAGCCAGAGCGGGGAGCAGAGCAGGCAGAGGGACTGAAGTACACTGCTGAGGGGAGCAGCGGGCAGCAGGAGAGGTCTGCGCGCCATGTGGGACCCTCCTCCGGTGGCCGGGGAGCAGCTGGGGATTGAACTGGCGTCGCAGAGGCCGCGGGTAGCTTCGCAACCCAGCGCTCAACCGCTGCGCCACCGGGGAGGCCCGAGACTGATCCCTTTTCAAGAAGAAAAAGAAAAATCATTGAAGTGAGGCTGATTACTCCAAAGAGGATACTTGAACTTGAAGATAAATGAAAATTATTCAATCTGAAGGTTATGAGAGAAAAAGTGTGGGGGGTGAAGAGAATAAACACCTGGAGCCTGAAAGACACCATATCCAAAGGTGGGTCAGAAGGAACTATCTCAGTTCCTGTTCTAACAGGGAGCTGGACTAGAGCAGGAGAAATGGCTGAAGAAACAATGGTCAAAGGCTTTTCTAAATTTGGTAGAAGACATACTCTTACAGATTCAAGAGGTTCAGTGAACCCCGAAGTGTGATTAATACAGAGAAACTATAACCAAGCACATCTTAACGGTTGAAAACCAAAGATTAAAAAAAAAATTTTTTAAATGTAGACAGAAAACCCCACATATTACATACAAAGCAACAACTTGAAAAAGGTTCTCACGAGAGGTAACAGAGGTCAAAA